TACCTGGCCGAATTCTTGTATTAGCTCTAGTAGTTTTTGTGTTGAATCTTTAGGGTAGTCTATATATAGTATCATGTCATCTGCATATAGTGACAGTTTTACCTCTTCTCTTCCAATTTGGATCCCTTTTATTTCTATTTCTTGTCTAGTTGCTATGGCTAGGACTACCAATACTATATTGAATAGAAGTGGTGAGAGTGGGCATCTTTGTTTTGTTCCAGATTTTAGTAGAAAGGCTTTCAGCTTTTCACCATTGAGTATTATGCTGGCTATAAGTTTCTGTTTGTCTTCATACCAGTACCACACTGTTCTGATTAGCATTGTAGTATGTTTTGAAATCAGGTAGTATGAGAACTGCAGTTTTATTCTTTTCTTCCCAAGATTGTTTTGGCTATTCAAGATTCCTTGAGATTCCATATAACATCATGACATCTGCAAACATAATTTTACTGCCTCCTTTGCAGTTTGGGTGACTTTTATGTTTTTCTTCCCTAGTTACTCTGGCTAGAGCTTCCAGTAGTGTGTTGAATAGAAACTGTGACAGCAGGTACTGTTTTCTTGTTCTTGATTTTAGAGGAAAAGTGTTTTCAGCCTTTGACTATTGTGTGATGTTAGGTGTGGATTTTTCATAAGTGGCTTTTATCATATTGAGATAATTTCCTCCTATGCTAGTTTTTTGGATTTTTATTTTTATCATTAAAGGGTGTTAATTTTGTCAAATGCTTTTTCTGCATCCGTTGAGATGTAGCATGTGGGGTTTTTTCCTCCCCTTTATTTTAATGTGGTATATTGCACTGACTGATTTTTATATGTGAACTGTTCTTACATTCCAGGAATAAATCTCACTTAGTCATGGTGTATATTTTAATATGCTGGTGAATTTGGTTTGTTAGTATTTTGTTAAGGGTTTTTGCTTCAGCAGCGTAGGTGAAATTAGCCTCTAGTTGTGTTTTCTTGTAGTGTCTTTGGCTTTATACAGATTACACTGTCTTCATAGAATGTGTTCATAAAATGTGTTCATTTGTGAGAAGAGTTTGAGAGAGATTAGTGTTCTTTAAATATTTGATAATTTAACAGTGAAGCCATCAGGTTCAGGTTCAGGGCTTCTCTTTATCAGAAGGTTTTTGATCACCGATTCAATCTCCTTACTAGTTCTAGGTCTATTTGTATGTTCTAGTTTTTCACGATTCTGTCATAGTACATTGTGTGTTTCTAGGAATTTGTCCCTTTGATCTACTTTATCCAGTTTGTTGGCTTACGCTGCCCACAGTACTCTCTTAAAACTCTTCCTTCATTTCTGATTTTAGCAATTTGTCTTCCCTCTATTTTTCTTGGTTAGTTTTGCTAAAGATTCATCAATTTTTTGCTATTTTCATAAATACCAACTTTTGATTTTGTTGATTTTCTGTGTTGCTTTTTCTATATTGCATTTATTTCTGCTCTAATCTATTATTTTTTTCCTTTTTCTTGTTTGTGATTTGTTCGCTCTTTTCTGGTTTCTAACTGAAAAGTTGTTGATTTCAGATCTTCCTTGTTAATCAGGCATTTACAGCTATAAGTTTCCCTGTAAGCACTGCTTTAGCTGTATTCAACATTTTTTGATATGTTCCATTTTCATTTTTTTCATCTGAAAGTTCTGTGACTTTTCTTTGTGATTCCTTTTTTGACCCATGGCTTCTTGAGAGTATGTGGATTAATATCACATGTTTATTAATTTTCCAAATTTCCTTAATGTTACTGATTTCTCATTTCATTACATTGTGGTCAAGAACATAGTTTGTGTGATTTTAATTCTTTTAAATTTATTCAGACCTATTTCATGGTCTTTCCATGTGCACTTCAGAAGAATGTGTGTTCTGCTGTAGTTGGATGGAGTGCTTAATAGTCATCTAGTTAGTGTTAACTGAAATCTGCTTCCTTGCTGATCTTTTGTCTAATTGTTCTGTTATTCCAAGTGGGTATTGAAGTCTCC